AGGACGAAAGACTGTACACGCGTACGATGCTCATGACGGCATACAAAGATGCTCCTGATGCCATAAAGCTAGATGCTCATGAAGCTCCGAGAACCCCAGACCCTGGACCCCAGGAGGCTGGTTGAGGTCCAAGTCGAGTTAAATGAGAGAGGAAGGTAGGCACATGGGGGGAGGGGTACCATATATATATATATATATTCATGTCATACATATATATATATAAATCATATATATATATAAATATAAATATATGTATGTGTATATACATATATATCATATATATATATATATATGTACACACCTTACATATATACGTATATATATATATTTATATATAAAAACTATATTATGGGTGTATTAAAGACTATGTATCACATGTTATAGGTTATGTGTATATATATATATATCACATATTATACATTTGTATCACATATCATAGGTGATATAACATGTGTTATGGGCTATGTATCGTTTGTTATAGATTATATGTCATATGTTATATTATATGTATCATATACTATATACTTTGTATTCCAATTAAAATTTGAGTGATCTTTCTGCACCTTGCTGCCAGCGACGAGGCCGCTCGAGCAGCTCTGACTGCGCGGTTTGACATCGAGCTCTGACCGTGTCCTACTCGTAGGGTGCCCGCTGAGGGATCTATAATGGGGCCCCCCATTGAAGGTACTCTAGGGTTCTGCGATACCCACTCGTAGTGCGTCCCTGGGTCCTTGAGAAACTTTAAGGAGGCTGGTCAAGTTCCTGCCAGAAGCAAGGAAGAGATGTTGAGCATTGATGCATGAGATAGACGAAAACCAAGACTAGTAGACGTAGGTTGGATTTCACACCTGCACGTTGCAAGAGGCTTTCGTGCGAACCCGGAGTCACTTCAATCATACAAGAGGTCAATGCACTCAATTGCAGATGTGCTAGTGCAATCTAGCATAGACTTATTGGCGGAGCCCAGAAGAGTATTGTGCCCGCTTCAGGAAAGGGTGAATGGGGGCTGGAAACGGGTATTGCATTCGTGTTTGACCTGGTACGCAACAGGGCCAGGTCCTTGCTAAACGCAAAAGGACAGCAATGTGCCCCTAGCATGTATAGACCGACGAACGTGGGACAACGAAGGCCTCTCGCTCGGAGTCTTTGGCGCTGCTCAAGGCAGGCCTTTGTACAGATCTCTGCGTGGACCGCTTGCAAAGCAAAGCAGGTCGAAATACGTGAAGAGTGCCTGTACACTTTGTGTAGGCAACATCTCTGAATTCGCGATCTTTCGCCGAATTCGCAACCTCCAGGTTGTGGTGCTGCAAGACGACGCATCGATGGCGGACTATGCAAAAACCTTGATGCTGTGCTGTTGTCTTCCACGTTCATGCTTGCAAGAACTTAGCATTTACTCCGTCGCAGATGTGGAAGCAACATCGGGAATCTATCTTAAAGACGCTGCAGGCGCGCTTGTGGGAATGAGCCGGGGTGGTTGTGTTTGGGCAGCAGTCCGTCTTGACGACAGCAAGCATCTGCGCTTGTCGAACTGCAGAACTGCGGCCTCAACCTGTACTGCTTCTACAGCAGAGATAGAGATCAAATCTTGGCTGCAGCCTCAGCAGGGAGCTGTGTAACCGATGCGCCATGCAGTGCCATGGTTTCCTTTCAGGTGAAGATCGGAGCTGGTGCGCAGAAGCTTCGAGACACCGCTGCAAGGTCGGAAGATCGTACTCTTATTCAGCCAGCTCCGGCGAACTAAACAATCTTGCTGCCCGAAAGGAAGCGATACAAGCTTCAGCTTAAGAAGGCACGTCGATGGAAGTTGTTGGTGATACATGTTGTGGCACAGCATGTGCCGATGTGCAGGAGTATCTGAGTGCCTTTGCCGAGTTCCGGCACGACCATCCGGGCAGGCTTGGAAGCGTAGCACTGTGACACCTTGCAACGGCCTCAGCAATGGCTTCGTCGAAAAGCTCAGGCCGGAGTTCCGCTTCGCCGACCGGCGTATCATCTCACACATTTACCAAACACACACCGAGGACCACGACCCTGGCACTTTAGAACCTGAGGCGATCTTTGCGTATGTCCGTGAATCACCAGGACAATCTGGACGGCAGCGGCATCTTCAAGACGGTCGACAAGTGCCTCAGCATCTTTTGCAAGAAGCTGTTGATGGCAGATGACCGACGACCAAATGTGCCAGGATCCAGCTGATCTCCCACATCATCCAATCCAAGGACAAAGACTGTGCAGGTGCCTATAAGCATGAGGGCTTGAGAGCTTGGACTTTTCCTTCAGCAACCGTCTGTGCGAAGGCATCAATGTAGCGAAGCTCTTGCACCAGAAAGAGGTAAAGGTGGGAACACATGCCAGTATGGCTGCAGAGCCGGCATCAGTTCCATGTACCGACATCTGCTAGGCTTTCTTCCCATTGCATGAACAGTCTGTCATGGACAAGATCAAGTCGCTCCAGGCTTCTTTGGATGCATGCAGAGCGTGCGGCAGTTGCATCAGCTCCGTGTGACTCGACCTTGCCAGTTCAAATGGTTCTGGCCTGACGAAGAGCATGCAAACCGGCTGCGGGACTACTTCGGTGACAAGGCAACTGAAGCTGCGCCCTGTGAACCCTGCTAGTGGTGGATTGGCCTGAGGGCAAGCCTGCATCACCCTTGCTTCTTGATTCAGATCACCTTCTACTTCTTGTGGATGGCCTTCTATGTGAAGTGGCTCTCGCCGCTGGCGTGCCTAGGCTCGCGAGTCTTGATAATTCCAGCAACAACGAATGCCTGAAGTCTAGAGATGGCAGGCCTTTTCCTTCAATTCATTGACTGGTGTGCGTGTGGCTCAGACATTTTTCAGACGTCGTTTTTCTGTCTTCGCGTTTGCAGCCGTTTTAGCATTGTCTCCTCAGGCACGGACGCCCGACAATGTGACGGCGATCCCTTTTTGCGTACTCCCTGTCTTCTCTGGTTTGCTGTGTTTGGTCTGTGTTGTCACTGGCCGCTAGCTTTATGAAAGGTACTGATGAGTATTTGGTCCCTGTGTCTACCACACTTCTGGCGCCGGCAAGAGGCACCGCCAAGACACTCTCCCTTCCCCTGCGGGAGAGAGCTCACGAGTTGGAGGCCAAGTGTGCCATCAGCTGGGGATCCATGGATCTGGTTGCCAGCTCAGCTACGATACCCAGAATCCACGTTGCCCACCCCGAACCTCCCGAGGTCGAGCAGCTTGAGCCCCACCGGCCAGAGCACACGGGAGAACAGCTCATCAACCCTGTGACTTCGCAGGCTCTGACGATTTCTCTGCAAGCAGCGAGCTGTCGCTGTCCTTCGGCAGGCAGAGCCACACTATCCGCTTTCCAAGCGCATCTTCAAGTGCGCTCGGGGCGTCTGCAACCGCAGAATCTGTGTGAAGACAGATGGTTTGGCTTGAGGTTTGCTTTTGCCTGCTTCGGCTCAATAAGGAAGCTAAAATGCTTTGGTAGGTGTCATGGAGAGTTTAGATGGCGGCACTTGCAGCTTTGGAGTGCACGACATGAGCGCCAGTCCGAGTCTGATCGCCAATGAGGGCGAGACGAGTCCCTCGGCTCCCTCTGCTCTCTCGGCCTCGCCAGAGGCAGAGCATGCGATGCATGCGGAGCTTCTGCGCCTGCGCGAGGAAGTGGCCCACTTGCGAAGGCGCCTGGCGACCCAGCCACCGGCGCATGAAAGTCAAGAGGACGGAGGGCCGAAGCCAATTGAGGCGGAATCCGAGTTTGAGACGCCTGACAAAGACAGGTGCACAGACTCCTTCCCAAGCGAGGGTCTTCAGGTCAGTTTTAGTGAGGTTCGCAGAAGCGACTGGGCCTTACGAGAACGAGCCTACCGCTGCGCCCGCGATTTCTTCATGAGTCCTGATTCGGTGACGGGTGCCGGGCGTGTGGTCCGTGCTCAGCTCCTATCTGCCATGCGGCAGCAGGAGCCCGAGGTGGCCGCTTTCTTTGAATCCCCCAGGCAGCAATTCCGTTGCCTGTTGGTTGAGGGTGACCCTGAAGGCATCATAGAGTGGGATGACTTCGTGAACTGCTATGTGCGACAATGCAAGCAGAGCATTTCCGCCGCGAAAGCCATGGAGCCGGAAAGGGAAAGGTCTCCAGCGACTGCATCCACTCGATCGCCGGTGCTGCCGCTGCAGAGATGCAGTGAGGTCTCTGGTCGAAATGCCACGTGCTTTTCTGAGGAGTCGCCCTCACGACTGCAGGAGCCCATCCGAGCTGAGAAGACGCCCAAGTTCAGATTCAGAGATACCTGGATACATCTGGATACCTCTTTTGCAGCGGGTACTGTAGGTGTGCCGCTACCTTCCTCACAAGAGATGTTGTGCTACCGCATGCCCCATGTTGCTGAGATATGTTTTTTGGTTGTGGCTTTCTCTTGCGATACTTGTAAGGTTCATGGATTTCGATTCATTTCAAGGGTGTTGTTTGCTTTGCTACTCTGGGGTTACACGATGGTATCTTTCAGCATCATGAATAGGCAGATTCGTTGGATTTACAGCCCTGTTTGGAGGACTCCCTGTTGATCTCAACTTCATCCGCCGAAGAAGACAGAGGCCAGAAGGGCCTGCCTGCGCTGTGAAAGGGCAAAGGGCAAAGGGCAAGTCAGTGCCGCTGCTGCGGAGGCACGCAGCGGGAGCTTGAGGCTTAGATGGGAAAGCGTCCTTAGATCAATGATTACGACGTCTTTCGAAGCGTAGGGGCTCACATTTTTTGAGTACCAGCAGTTCCGAGGCAGATGTCACCGCAGCCGATGCTCTGGTCGATTCGAGCTGAGTGCACATCTTCTCAAGCGCTGCTCATGTCTGCGATGAAGGGAAAGCAGAAGCACAGCTGTTGTGTTGTAGTTTGCTTTCACTCGGACCCCTCTCGGCTCTCGCAGCGTTGGGTACTTCATCAATTTGCAGAATAAGCCGGGATCAAACAGTCATGCAATGCGCGGTGCAAGTGGACTGAGGCGGTCCCATTTCAGCACCATCTAGCCGGCAGGTAGGACACTTTCGCATGTTTGTGGCATGGCGACTTGCGCTGGCCTGCTTGTTGACGTGCTTTCCCCTTCTTGCTGCCGATATCTGTGGAGATCCTGAACCTGGTTTGCTCAACCTTACTTGCACTGGTTCCAACTGCTCCCAGAAGTATTTCTGCGACTCGCTGGCACGCTGTCAGCGGGTTCTGCTGGTGGCAGCATCTGTATCATGCGAGGGCCGACATGCCGTCCTTTCCCGTGAACTCCGCCGGGGCTTGGAGCTTTGGGCAGCACAAGTGAACGCACCGACGTCCTCTGTCCGTGGATTCTGGGGGGAGCGCTTGCTGGTCCACTTGTGGTTTGTGGACGATCGAAGCGAAGCTGACGAAGTGAAGCGTATCTACCGCGACTTCGTGTCCAGGCAGGGTCCCGAACGAGCCGGGCTTAGCTGTCGAGACAAGAAGTAGCGTTAGGGACGGATGATATGTCAAAGAGATGGGAGCTCTTCAGTAAGGACCCGATGCGTTGGTCGGCCCCTTCTCCACGGAACTCTCAGAAGTAGCAGCTGAAGCCAGCGCTGGATCCGATGTGCTGCTCCTTCTGCCTGGAGCAGCGTCACCTTCGATTTTTCGGATGGGCTTCGACCATATTATCGGCCAAGACCCGAGAAGAAAGGTTTGCAGTTCAACAGTAGTTGGGTGCAAATGGCTGCACTCAGAAATTTCCATATGCTGCTCTGAGGTCTTTTGGTATCCTCGGACAGCTATATGGTCGATGCCATGCGAAGGACTCAAGCTTCTTGGCTTCATAGTGCCCTTGTGCTCGAGGCTGGGTTGGCAGCCGACCATGGTTCCGAATCGTTCCCGTGTTGTGTGATGTTGGATGAGACCAGATGAGGTGTTATCCGCGACAACCGCAGTATTTGCGAATGCAGACGGCGAGTTCCCCAAGTCAGTCTGTGTTGGTGGTGCCGCTGAAGCGCATCGATTGGGAATGACCGTCCTTGCGAACTTCACATGGTCGTCTAGCGACATCACGCTGATCGTCCAACAAATCAAGACCTTGCAGCCCGACGTGTTGGTCGGTTGTGGCTATGTGTCCGATGCTTCCATGTTTGTGGTTGCCTCAATGGCGTTGGATTTCAATCCCAAAGCTCTGGTTCTCACACAGGCTTCGCATCCAGATTTGATCGGTTCTGTGGAGGCACGGAATGCCAACTTTATTGCGGGGCCAGCGCTTTGGGTACCGGAGCTGGGGGATGACATTTGCAGCCGTTCTTGTCCAATCTTCGCGAACGGTTCACACTTCTCTAGTATTTACACGCTTGCCTACGGTCGCCCGCCACCTTACCAAGCTGCAGCTGCAGCTGCAGCTGGGGTACTTTTGATCGATGCTGTCAGTCAGAGTGAAACCTACGATCCTTCGAAGTTGCGGCAGAAGATTTTGGACTCTGGTTTCTTGAGCACCTTCTATGGCCGGCTAGCATTTACTGGTAGTGGGATGATGGACGACGATGCCCTGGTGTCACGCACGGTTCAGCTCAAGCCGCTCGCCGAATCGGAGCTGCCTTTCAAGCGCTACAACTCGAGTTTGCTCACGGTCCTGGGTAAAGGCCCAGGATCGTTCTTGAACCAAGTTATGTTTTCAATGAAGATCTAGAAACGCGGATCAAACAACGGGACGTTTTTTTGAAGCAGCCCCTTCAGGTGGTCAAGAAATGGAAGAGATGCCCAGTTGGGATGCAAAACGACTCCTGGTCTATCCCTGCGAGGAAGGATATGCTCTGCGCTTCCGTGAGTGTGTGCCCTGTGATGCTGGTCGTGCTCGGGATTGCAATCAGACTAGCTGCGACTATATATAGGTGTTAAGGCCTTTCCCTGCGTGTTGATGACAGCAACGACAATGCATACTGAGGCTACCGCCATTCAGCCACGACCAGTTGCCACCCATGCGAGCGTGGCACGTATGCTGCAGTCCAAGCGCAAGCGCACTGTCGACCTTGCCCGACTGGAGCCAACTGCACAGAACTGGGCACCGCGCTGCCAGAAGCGAGTGCTGGCTACTATCGCATGCCTTTGCAGTGCCTCGACCTCGACTGCGTGATTTTAGAAGAGTGTGGGGGCGCGGGGGGGGGGGCGGGGTAATCCAAAAAGTGTGATCGCTGCCACAGGTCCGGAGTTGACCTCACGCCCTGGAACTTCCAGAAGTGCCGACCTGCCTCCATCTGCCTCGGGGCCAACACATGCCTGGGCAGCAACACCGGAACTCTTTGCGAGCAGTGCCAGCAGGGCTTCACGAATCAACGTTCCATCGTCTTCGGGGCGGGCAGAGGTACCCTGCATGCCTTTGTCCATGTAGGCCTTTCAATTTGGGACTAGACTGGTGTGGCAGCTCAGGAATCCGGCTTCATTGTTTGTTGAGAAGCTTCTGCGTACCAATCTTCAGTCTTTAGTTCATTGCCCATGGAATGCTTTTGACAGGCCGCTGCCAGGAGTGCCCTGCGACTGAAATCAATGTGGCCCTTGTCATCCTGCTGATCCTCGCATGCGCGGCTTACATAGCGATTGTCTTCAAAGCCACGATCTCGTCAGCCCTTTCTGTTCGTCATCTGCAATCGATTATCTTGAAGATTGTCATCAACTACTTGGTTTTTGCGCAGGCTGGTTTGTGGCAAGGCGACAAGGCATTAGGAGGATCCAACGCACCACCTCTTACTTATTGCGTCGAGGTTATAGCCTCGTGTGCCGATCTGTGCAGGTTACGCTGCAGTCTACAGGCTTCTGGGACCAGATGTGGACAGAACTGCAGAAGTCATTCCCTTCGGCACCTACTGATGAAGGCAGTGAAGTCAGTGGATGCAGTAGTAAGTCGCGGGGATATGAACTCACACTGAAGTGAAGTCACACGTCGTGGCAGGCCCAATCCTGCTGAGCTACGACTGCTTGCTTCAAAGCTCTGGTTGGCATGTGTTTCGTGCCCAGATGTACCTGGCCATCTTCATGTTGCCGGCAGCCCTGTTTTGCAACATGCTTTTCTGCCTGCTGCAGATGCTTGACAAGAAGGGTCTCTCCTGTAGTCATGGTCTCTGTGTTGAGCCCTTTCATCGCTTTCAGCTATGTAGCCTGCCCGTCTTCCAAGGAATGTCATTCTCATTTGCCGCATCAAGCGCAACAAGGAAGTTGTCGAGAGACTCCGTCAGTTCGATGATCACAGCTGGAATTGGACATCTCTAACAAGGCACTTCTCCGAGAATGAGCTCGGGAAAGGTTCGAAGAGCTCCTCGAAGTTGAGTTTGGCTGCTTCGGAGGCAAGGAACCGCTCTTAAGGTTTGTAAGCCAGCAAACCCCAAAAAACCCTCAAGCCCAAACCCCTAC